GAGCAAGTGATTAATTATACCTATGAAATTAATTACTTAACTTAAACACCATCACCATTCCATGACATCAAAACCACTAAATTGTCAAAACAGACAAAAAGGCTCCCACCATGAAAACCTTGCAAAACAAATCCCTCCTACCCCAAGGAGAAATCTTAAATGACCAAAAACATATCTAAGGATACTATGGACCCCAAGAGACAGTGTCTTATCATTTTTCTCACCCAACCGAGCATGAATAATGCATAAGGTCAACACAGACACTTAACACTTAATCATGCTTAACAATTAGCATACATCATAAGGCATAAAACACGTAATATGCAATGGCCAAAACTATCAACTAGCATACTTTAGTAAAAAGTTAACTCAATATTCCAAGTATCTAACCAACTTGCATACAATCATATTAAGTCACGTAGTAAAAGCACCAAACAATTTAGCACATAAGCATACATGTCATATAAAAGATGCTTTTAAACATATAAACACTGAAGCACATAAGCACGTAAACATGTGAACATATCAAAACATGTCAACAAGAAGCATGAAATGAACCCAAAACCCGTTGTCCTAAGGTATTCGAATCCAGATGCTCTGATACCATTTGTGACGACTCAAATTTCAAAGAACCCGGTGCGTTAGTGAGTAATCCAAAAACTGACTCTATAACGAGTTTGAAACATGAAAGCAATGAAAAGAAAAGAGATCTCTAGAGATGAACACCATCTCTAAGATGACAAAGTGATCTTCTAAGAAGTCACGGAACTAAAAAAGGAAACGAAAGCAGAAGTTAAGGTTAAAATAGACTAAATATGGAACTAGGGGTAAAATGGTCATTCTACCCCAAAAGAAGGAAATTTGACTCCCAATAAGTCAAATGAGATCAAAATAACCCAATGATATCCTTTGGTAACCTCATATGAAGTCCTAAGGTCATTGGAAGTGAAATCCCATGAAAACCCTATCCCGATTTGAACAAAATCCCGACACTATTCCACTAAAACAATCATATCTCTCAGTAGGAATTGAATCTGGAAATGAAATTGGTACCATTGGAAAGAAAACAAAATTTAATAAATTTAGGCTCAAGAATCACCTAATTTGGACTTAAAATGCAAGTTCAAAGTTTGGCTAAAAAGCTGCCAAGAAAGCACCCTGTGCCTAGGTGCGATCGATCATAATTGGGTTACGGTCGATCGTAAATGATGAAAAATAGGCACAAAAAATGGCTCAAGTGTGAATGATCGTAAATGGGTTACGATCGATCATAAATGGCTGAGCTGCAAACTATGATTTTTCGAAAATGTTTGAATTTCAATGCAAAAATGGGACTTTTTGGAAAAAGTCCCATTTTTGTAGCAACCCCCCTCAAAATTGGTTATAAGATCACCTATGATCCAAACCAACAATAAAAATCAAAATGAAATTATGGATATACCCCTGAGTGCATGGTATGTCAAAGAGATAAAAATATGATACTAAATGACATAATTCATAAACATTGAAGTGGTTGGCCCTCGGCCTCATTATATACATGATAAGTTGACATAAAAATAAAGTGTTAGGGTACATATTACACACACAAAAGAAATAAGGCAAGCTTCTAATTACATTACACATTATCAACTTCAAAAGATAAGTAAATCATGCTAACACTTGCATGCTATAAATATATAAAAGATGACCAAATGAAACACAAGCCGAGATATGAATGTTGTGCATCCAAGAAGAATGCCACCTTGCCTAAAAAACAATAATCAACTGGGGTGAGTAATCAAATTACTCAGTAGGATGATGCGTATGCTTATAACCTAAAGTTTTAATGGTTTTGCAAGTGTAATATAAACGAATATACGTGGATCATGCCCCCCAACGTCTAAGTTCGAGGTGAAGCTGAGGGATTATCCTAAAGCTACCATTGAAACATTTTAATCACGATCCACAATAAACAAAGCAATTAAACAATAGGAATATATTTGCCAAAAAAAAAAAAAAAATCTTACCATAAAGTTAGAATGATAACAAAGTTTACACCACTCTAAGAACTATAACTCAACTCACACATAGACTCCGCTATGATGTAACTTACGCATGTGACTCCATGATGCAATGTGATGTTATGCCGGATATCTTATATAATTAAACAACTGGTGCATTTCCACACCCCACTGGCCTAGTGTGAATAGGGAATTTCAGCCTTTGGACTCGATATCCACTTCTCAAGTTTGGATAGCTTATATCCTTCAATCATGTTATGCATGTCGTACACGCACAACTTATAACCTCATGAACTTTATGAACAAAATGATGACCACCATGCTCCTAAGACCAAAGTGGCACACACACACCATGATGCACTCACATGGACAATATATTAATAAGTTCATAATACTAAAACAATGTAGACTACTTAATAGTCATTCAATCAAGTCCTTAATTTGCACACACTTAAAGTAACATTATGTTATTCACATAAAGGATTTAATCATGCTACTATTGTAAGCCTTAAACATGTAACCACACAATCCATACTCTAAGTCTTCAAAGCTACAATGGCCTTTGTAATGACAAGTTCACAATGTGAATGAAATTATGCTATTACAAAATTGTCAACATAGAAAATCCATTGTTAAATATATAGTAATACATATATATGTACTTATATATATATATATATATATATATATATATATATATATATATACGTGACTTTTGGTTTTAAGTTGCAACTATTCAGATGATACGTGACTTTTGTTTTGCACCTTTGAATTGGTTGCAACTATTAAGACGGTACATGACTTTTAATTTGTACCTCCTGAATAGGTTACAACTATTCAGAAGATATGTGACTTTTGGTTTGCACCTCATAAATAGGTTACAACTATTCAGAAGATATGTGACTTTTGGTTTGCAACTCTTGAATAGGTTACAACTATTCAGAAGATATGTGACTTTTGGTTTGCAACTCCTGAATAGGTTACAACTATTCAGAAAATATGTAACTTTTGGTTTGCAACTTTTGGAAGTTTATAAATAGCAATGGTGCAGTACATTCTGAATATACTTTTTCTGTTCTCTTTTTTGTGTTGTATCTAGTCATAACAGTTTCAATGAGTGTTTAGGGAATTCCTTCAGTATTGCTAACTGCAGGAATTCAGACTTTGTTATATCCTGAGAGTGTTTTGCTACAGAACCCGTTGGCAAACTTAATTTGAGTGGGAGCAAATAATACTTTAAGGAAAGTGAATACACGCCTCAAAGTCTCTATTTTGTTTCACCTCAGTGTGCTTGAGAAGGTCTGATTATCTCCAACAATTTCTGGATCAATTGTTTCAACATCCATTCATGCTAATATATAGTGAGTTCCAATTCCTTAATCACACAACAACATAGTATCAATTTCACAACTAATTCATTGGCAAGAATCATGTAAAAAGTCTATAGTTACACTATAATAAATCACTAGATTTTAATTCTCCACCAAATGAAATAACATCCATATAAGAAGTAAATCACCTACAAGCTTTGAACAATATTAAACCCTAGGTTAGTTACATACAACTTTCATTTATATGCAACCTTAGAATTTAAATAACATGAATACAATGTATATTAATCTCAAAAACACATTAAAACACTAAGGGTATAGATATAAAACATCCCTTACCTCATTAGAGAATTGTATCTCTAGAAACCAAGGGAAAATGGAAGCAAAGTACATGGAAATCCAAGACAAGGTGTGATAGAGGAAGGTGGGGGGAAGCTTTTGTCTTCCAAGTGCAAGACCAAAAGCTTAGTGGAAGAGGGTTAGAAACAAGCTTTCAAGGCTAGGGTTTCAAGTCTCCAATGGTGGCTAGGTGAAAGCAAGGTGGAAGACAACTAAAAATCTCTAACTTGTCCACTAACTCATTGTCTTGCAAAGCATAAAAATTATACTAACACTACTTCTCACACACATACACATCACACCCCTCCACTTGTCATGATCTTAGGCCTCATCACAAGATTGAATCTCCACACTACACTTGTTACAATCCTATGCTTCCAAGTGTCTCTAACCAAAAGTTAACAAATGGTCTAAGGAAAAGGTGACACTTGTCACACTTTTTAAAAATTGCAAAAAGGTCCGTGTTCTAAATATCCCACAAAAATAATTGCAAAAAGGTCCTTAAGCCAAAATATCTCAAAAAGTTAATTACACAAATAATCCCGAAAAATGAAAATGTTTCCGAAGAAATTATACATTCATACCCCTAGGAAATGAATTTAAACAAGCATACTTTTCTACACAATTAATTTAGGCATTAACAATAATTTAAATTAAAGTGAATGTATGTCATGTCGGAAAATATTTCTGAACACCAAACCGTAAGGCAACAAGAAAGGAAATAAATAAATAAATAAATAAATAATAATAATAATAATAATAATAATAAATGTGTCCAAAAAAAGGCCAAATATGACACAGTCATCACAGTTTCCCTCTCTCTAAATTGATTGGTAACAGAGAGGCAAGAGATTGGGATCAGAGAGATAGAGCTGGAATAAGCTGTGCCCAGTCCTTTTTGCCATCAAAATTGCTAGCGAATGGTGGACGGCGTGTTCATCCTCTTCGCCATCAAGTGGGTCTCTGTTTTGCCCAGTCTTGTATCTGAATCAATTGATTGTTGGTGTCTAAGGAACCTAATGAAGAGAGAGAGAGCGCGCGTAGTGTTTGGATTTGGTTCCTCATTATTTTTGTTTGGGTTGAGAGAATTAAAAAACAATGTGTTTATGTCCTTTTAGGCAATTTCAAATTATATATATATATATATATTTTTTTAGTAAAGTGGGGGCATTTTTGTCTTTTCATTCATCCAGTAATTGTATTTTGACAAAAAGTTTTTATTTGCTCACTTTTACTACTGAGGTGAGATTTGAACACGATAATGTTATTAACACATTTTTCAGATTACAAGAAGGTTTTTTGTACTTTACTGTATTTTTGTTTATAGATAGTTTGTTTTAAGTTTATTAAAAAAATAAGAATAAATGAGTCAATTATGTGTTTAGAGTTCGAAAAATAATTTGACATTGTAAATGAAAGTTAAAATGAAAATATTACTATACATGAAATTTGACCTAATTTAGACTGTGAGTGTCTTTGATTTAATGAAGCAATTTGGTGACAAACTTTATCACATTGGAAAGTTTTCATGTGACCTAATCTAAGAGACTGAGTGTCTTTGATTTAATGAAGCAATTCACACTGGAAAGTACCGCCAAAAATGTTGTTCAGAAAAGAGAGATGCTCAATTTTGAAGAACGGAAAAAGTGAAGGCGAGGATAGAGGGAAGAGGCAATCATGTTCATTGGTACTCAAAGATAACCTTTATACAGATAAACAACCTCTATGCATCCACAACGTGTGAATGCAAGAGATCTCCTCACGTCCTTGCTCTGTCATTGCTCCAGCGTTAAGCACCTATCGCAAATCTATGGCTTCATGGTTCCAAGAGGTCTCGATCAGGACGCCCTCCTTCTCAGCAAATTCATCCATGCTTGCTCTACAATGGGCTTTTTGGGTTATGGGTTTTCGGCTTTCACTCACCATACCCACCAACCAGACATTTACCTTCACAACACTATGATCAAGGCTCTTTCTCGCCAACCACACACTGCCAAAGATGCCATCTTTCTCTATAATCAGCTTCAAGCTCTCGGTTTGCGTCCCGACAGTTACTCCCTTCCGTTTGCCCTGAAGGCTGTGGTCAGTCTACCTGCTGCGATCCAAGTGGGTAGAGAGATTCACTGTCAAGCCATCGGCACCGGCTTAGACTGTGATGTTCATGTGGGAACGGCTCTCATTCAAATGTATTCCACGTGTGGTTGCGTCTCTGACGCTCGCAAGCTGTTTGACGGAATGTGCATTAGAGACGTGGCCTCTTGGAATGCAATGGTTGCTGGGTATGCCAAGGTTGGTGAGGTGGACAGTGCTCGCAACTTGTTTGAGTGCATGCCCGAGAGGAATGTGATTTCTTGGACTACTGTAATTGCAGGCTATGTTCAGGTGGATCGGCCCAGTGAAGCAATACTTGTCTTTCGGAGAATGCAGCTTGAGAATGTGGAGCCTGATGAGGTTGCGGTGTTGTCTGCGCTCTCAGCTTGTGCCCATTTGGGGGCCCTTGAGTTGGGTGAGTGGATCCATAACTATATTGACAAACACAGATTGCGTAAGACTATACCCCTTAGCAATGCCCTTATTGACATGTATGCAAAGTCAGGCAACATAAAAAAGGCAATAGATGTTTTCGAAAACATGAATGATAGAAGCGTTATAACTTGGACGACAATAATTGCTGGGCTGGCATTACATGGGCTTGGAAGAGAAGCTCTTGAAATGTTTACTCGCATGGAAAAGGCTCACATTAAGCCAAACAGTGTCACTTTGATTGCTGTCCTTTCTGCTTGTAGCCATGTTGGGTTTGTTGAAATGGGTCGCTGGCATTTCTACAGTATGGAGTCAAGGTATGGGATTAAACCAAAGATCGAGCACCATGGATGTATGATCGATTTACTAGGACGTGCTGGTTGCCTCCAAGAAGCACAGGAAATTGTTAGGGAAATGCCATTTGAAGCAAATGGAGTTATTTGGGGGTCCCTTCTTGCCGCCTCTAGAATCCATGGGGATGTTGAGCTTGGGGAAAGAGCTTTGCAACACCTAACCAGGGTGGAGCCCCATAATAGTGGAAACTATACAATTTTATCTAATATATATGCCACTGTTGGTCGGTGGAAAGAAGCTGGGATCATTCGGAAGGTGATGAGGGATAAAGGCCTTAAGAAGATGCCGGGTGGGAGTTCCATTGAAGTGAATAACAGAGTTAATGAATTCAATGCCGGAGACAGATCACATCCTCAATCTGAGAGGATATACAAAGTTCTGTCCCTCATAAACAAACAGTTGAAGATGGCAGGGTATGCGTTGCATGAATTTGATGAGGGATCAGGATGTTGCTCATCTTCTATTGTGCACGATCTTGTTTAAAATTCGGTTTGAGTAAGGACATTGCAAGATAATCAGCTGAGGTTACAACCAATTTCTTGTTGGAGATTGACCAAGTAAATTCAGTTCACTTTGAGAAGGGGTACTTTTCAACCAACTGAGATCTACCTATAGAACATGTTTGCAAAAAAGGTAGAGAATATTGACTTTTCGAGCAGTGGCAACTTTTTTCGCATTATAAGATCAACTCAAGGACTTGGCTTGACATCTTGGTTGTTTGCATGGAGCTTTTCTGCATCAATTTTATATTGCCACTCAGTTAATGGCAGGTATGATACGAATCTTTGTCTTCTTTAATTTATTGATAGTCTTGTTTACACATTGTTTTCCTCCCCTTTCACTGTTTCTTACATTATATTATTATTTATTTTGAAATGAAGCAACTCTTTTAAACTATTTCTAATCGTTTGCTTACCTTATATTGTCCTGCTATCGGTCCTTTAAGGCATAGTTCAAAAGTGGGCAATGTAATAAGGAAGACAAAAATAAAACATTTTGATATGTTGTAATGACTCTGGTGAACCTCTTCTTGTTAATGTTTCCCGACTTAAAAAGCATGCTGAGGTTGAATCACCATCTTACATGTACACATTGCTCCATGACCGGTAAGTAGTATCTGTCAACCAACCACCATTTTGTTGATGTAGAAAAACTGGCTCATGCATATATGAGCATACATGATCACTGCAAGTCAGGGATGCCGAAACGGTAAGGAGGGAAATAGAAGATATTATTCTCCATTGCAAGATTTAAGGAGGATTCAGAAAATAAATAAGAAGATTTGGTGTAGTTGCCAACAATCAAAGATATTATTCTCTATTGCAAGATTTAAGGAGGATTCTGCTCCATCAAATCTCAGATTTCCCCTTTAATATTATTTCATGCATGTTTTATTTTTATTTTATTTTTGACTTGCCTATATAAAGGCAAGAGATGTAAGTTTGCAAACATCAATATAATTCTAGTTTCTCTCTTGTGAGTGTGTTCTTTGTGAATTCAAGGGTTTAACCCTGTTCTTTAGCGTTTTCGCTATGTTAGTTGGTATCAGAGCAAGGTTCCGAATCCAAGATTCACCTTTGTTTCGATGACCGGTTCATGAAATGAAAGCAACCCCTCAAGCGACGGTGATCGTGATGGAGTAGCTCTTTTAAGGGTTGAGTTTACTGAGTTCCAGACCAACGTTAATCGAACCTTACTTGATATGCATGAAACTATGCGTCAAGTATTGGCGAGATTAACAACGATAGAACTTAACCACGAGAACAATAGGCTGCCCAACGACGGTGATCATGGACGTCCTGCTGGTAATCACAACCCAAACCCACCGATTCGGCAACCAGTCTATGAGGAAAATGTCGGTTTTGGTAACAACCGAGCCGTACAGGTGTTTGGAGATTATCGAGGTCAATGGGAAATTGATGATTCCAGGGATTTTCGTATGAAGATCGACCTACCCACCTTTCAAGGTCATCTTCGTATTGAAGAATTCTTGGACTGGATTAGTGAAGTTGAACGTTTCTTTGACTATATGAAAATCCAGGAGGAGAAGCAAGTCAAACTAGTGGCCTATAAGTTGAAAGGCGGCACATTAGCATGGTGGGATCAAGTGCAAACTACCCGCGCATGCGAGAGTAAGGATCCGGTACGTACATGGGTTAAGATGAAGAAGTTGACGAAAGCTAGATTTTTACCCCCTGATTATGAGCAGGTTTTTTATTAGAAACATCAGTCCTGCATGTAGGGAAGTAGAATGATTGCTGAATATGCTGAAGAATTTTATCGGTTGTCATCCCGTAATAATCTGATGGAACCCGAATTTAGCATGGTGGCCCATTTCAAAGGCGGGTTACGATGGGATATTGAAGAGAAAGTGGAGCTGTAACCGCTATTCAAACTGTCTGAGATTGTTACGGTGGCATGGAGAGCATAATTGTTACTGGAGAAGTCGAAGAATCGGTCTCGTAGTTCATATAATACCCTACGTCCTACACATGACACATGTAAATAGACCGCGGTAGCCCCTGTTCCAATGACATGGCGAGGCATTGGAGATGGTCCAACAATGGCCAAAAACATAGCACCCATAGGCCTTACTAGAAGGGGAGCCCTCGCTGTGAGAGAAAATCCCTATGCACACCCAAGTACGGGCAAGTGTTTTTGATGTGGAGAACCTGGCCATAAATCCAACAATTGCCTCAAGCGACTGACAGTAAATCTGGTAGAGGAAGGCAAGGGTGAGGAAGGTGAGTTCCTTACTTTTGAAGAAGAAGAGGTGATTGAAGGAGACAATAGCGAGTTGTTGTCCCACTCTTTAGTATTGAGGGGTTGATGTTCACACCAAAGAAGGAGGAGCATCCGCAGCGTCATAATATGTTCTGTACACGTTGCACTGTCAACCATAAGGTATGTGACATTATTATTGATAGTGGCAGTAGTGAGAACATTGTTTCCTTTACAATGGTTCGAAAATTGGGACTTAAAACAGAGAAACATCCCCATCCATACAAAATTGGATGGATTAAGAAAGGCTCAGAAACGCGAGCAACTGAAACCTGCACCGTTCCATTCTCAATTGGGAAAATATATGCAGAGGAGGTGCGTTGTGATGTAGTCGACATGGATACATGCCATATGATCTTGGGCAGACCATGGCAATTTGATGTTGTTGCCACTCACCGTGGTAGAGACAATGTGTATATTCTATACAAGAATGGTCAGAAGATTGTTCTGGGTCCGCTGAAAGAAGTCGAATTTCCCAAAGGAAATTCAGTTATGTTGATCAACAGTGAGGAATTTCTGGGCGAAGTAACAACCCCTAAAATTTTTACTGTTATGTGCAAGGGGGAAGTGGTTGAACAACCTCCTTTTATAGTACCAACAATAGTGTAGCCATTACTGCAGGAGTTTAGTGAGTTGGTGTCGGAAGACTTACCTGATAGTCTCCCTCCTATGAGGGACATTCAACACCACATTGACTTGGTGCCTGGGGCGAGCCTGCCAAATCTACCACATTATCAAATGCGTCCTAACGAGAGTCAGATCATACAAGAGCAAGTGGAAGAGTTGCTACAGAAAGGGTTAATTCGGGAGAGTATGAGCCCATATGTTGTTCCGACCCTGCTAGTACCGAAAAAAGATGGCAGTTGGAGAATGTGCGTTGATATTCGCGTAATTAACAGAATCATTGTCAAGTACATATTTCTCATTCCACGGTTGGATGAAATGCTGGAGATGTTGGCGGGATCGAAAGTCTTCACCAAAGTGGACCTAAAGAGCGGATGCCATCAGATCAAAATCCGCCCTGGGGATGAGTGGAAAACGGCGTTCAAAACAAAGGAAGGACTATACGAGTGGTTAGTCATGCCGTTTGGATTATCCAACGCGCCGAGTACTTTCATGCGGTTGATGAATCAAGCACTCAAACCATTTATTGGTTGATTTGTAGTTGTTTATTTCGACAATTTTCTGGTTTACAAAATTTTTCTGAAAATCCTTTAAATCTCTGGAAACGAAGCCCTCGTTTTTGCTGGTTACAGCTTAAGGATACTAATGTCATCATTCGGGTAAAACCCATGATATATCTCAGAAAAGATATAGATGAGTTCGATGACCAGCTTTAGGACCTTTTTGAGATAAAGCTCATTGAACGGACTAAAAGCCCTCACAGTAGCCCTACTTTTATGGTAAGAAACTATAGTGAGGTTAAAAGAGGAAAAGCCCGTATGGTATTCAAGTATAAGCGGCTTAACGAACATTTAATTTTCGATGGTTATTTCATCCCTCGAAAAGATGTTCTTATAAATCAAACTCGCGGAGCAAAAATCTTCAGCAAGTTTGATTGCAAAGCAGGTTTTTGGCAAATAAAATTAAGAAAAAAGTCTAAGTCATTAACTGCTTTCAATACACCACGAGGTCATTATCAGTGGACTGTAATGCCATTCGGTCTCAATACTGCACCTCAAATATATCAACGATGGATGGATAAGATCTTTAATGACCTTAAAGATTTTGTTGTCAAACAGAGGCAGAACACCTTTTGCACTTGAGAGAGGTATTAATAGCTTTGCAGAAAAATAAACTGTTCATTAATCTAAAAAAGTGTAGCTTTGTGACCCTAAGCCTAATATTCCTCGGCTCTATGGTTTATAATGATGACATTCAAGTAGATGAGGAGAAGGTGATGGCCATTTGAGAGTGGCCTACGCTGAAGAATGTGGGAGAAGTACGCAGTTTCCATGGCTTAGCCATGTTCTATTGAAGGTTCATCAAGAACTTCAGTTGTAATGTGGCTCCCATCACAGAGTGCATGAAGAAAGGAAAATTCCAATGGGGAGAGGAAGCTGAGATGAGTTTTGCCTTGATCAAGGAAAAACTATCAACAGCTCCAATCTTAGTCCTTTCAGATTTTGAGAAGCTATTCTAGGTGGATTGTGATGCCTCAATAGTGGGAATTTGAGCGGTTCTATCACAAAAAGGAAGGCCAATAGCGTTTTACAGTGGGAAGCTAAGTGAAGCACACAAGAAGTGGACCACCTATGAGTTGGAATTCTATGCGGTGGTGCAAGCTTTGCATACGTGGGAGCATTATCTTATCCGGCGAGAGTTCATGCTGTTATAGATCATTAGGCACTAAAGTCCATTAACAATCAAAACAGTGTTAATCGGATGCACACGCGATGGGCGGCTTTTATCCAGCGAATCACCTTCTTGCTAAAACACAAGTGAGCCCAATAAAGCAAAGTTGCAGATGCACTAAGTCGGAGAACAGCTTTCTTAGTGACTATGAGGGTTGAAATCACAGGGTTCGAGTGCCTGAAGGAGTTATATGAGGCCGACAAAGATTTTGGCCAAGCCTAGGAAGCGTGAAAAATGAGCCAATCCTTTCAAAGGGTTGCACATGCAGGAAGGATTTCTCTTTAATGGAAATCAGTTGTGTATCCCGCGAAGCTCTTTGCAGGAGCAAGTGGTTCCTGAATTGCATGGAGGAGGATTAAGAGGACATTTGGGGCATGACAAGACGCGAGAGCTGGTGGAAGAACGATATTATTGGCCGCAACTTAAGCGTGACGTGGGGAACCATGTGCGGTGGTGCTCAATCTGCCAAGCTAACAAAGGCTAATCTAAGAATACTGGCCTTCACCACTGCCTATTCCAGATGCTCCATGGGAGGATTTATCCATGAATTTTGTTCTAGGGTTGCCGAGGACACAACGAGGAGCAAACTCTGTTTTTGTGGTGGTCGATCGATTTTCCAAGATGGCCCATTTTATTGCATGCAAGAAGACGAACAATGCAGTTCAAAATCCAAATGGCCAATATGTTCTTTAAGGAGGTGGTTCGTTTACATAGGGTACCATAGTCCATTATCTCAGATCGTGACACCAAGTTCTCGTCTCACTTTTGGCGGACTTCATGGAAGAGATTCGATACCTCTCTTAATTTCAGTAACACCAGTCACCCCCAGACTGATGGCCAAACAGAGGTGGTGAATAGGACTCTTGGAAATCTAATTCGCTGTATTTTTGGATAGAAACCAAATTAATGGGATCTAGCTGTTGCCTAGGCAGAATTTGCTTACAATTGCATGGTTAACAGGTCCACTGAATGGCTGAGCACATTAAGACTATTCATGAGAGTGTTAAAAAACATCTAGAGGAAACTTATGCCAAATACAAGGTTGCAACTGACAAGAGACGAAGGAAAAGAGTATTTGAAGAAGGGGACCTGGTTATGGTGTATTTAAGAAAAGAGTGGTTTCCAGTGGGAAAATACAAGAAGCTGAAGGCCAAGAAATATGGTCCGTACCAGATTCCAAATAAAATCAAGGACAACGCCTATGCGATTGATTTACATGGCCATTTCTTCTACCTTTAATGTGGCTGACATATATGAATATTATCTGCCAGATTCGAGTAACTCAAGGTCGAGTTCTTTTCATGCAGGGGAGACTGATGTAGAATGGCTGGCTCATGCGTATGTGAGCATACATGGTCACAGCAAATCAGGGAAGCTGAAATGGTAAAGAGGGAAACAGAAGATATTATTCTCAATTACAAGATTTAAGGAGATTTGGTGTAGTTGCCAATAATCGAAGATATTATTCTCCATTTGCAAGATTTAAGGAGGATTCAGAAAATAAATAAGAAGATTTGGTGTAGTTGCCAACAATAGAAGATATAATTCTCCATTGCAAGATTTTAAGAGGATTCTGCTCCATCAAATCTCAGATTTCCTCTTTAATATATTTTAACGCATGCTTTATTTTTATTTTATTTTTGACTTGCCTATATAAAGGCAAGAGATGTAAGTCTGCAGACATCATTATCATCAATATAATTTCAGTTTCTCTCTTGTGAGTGTGTTCTTTGTGAATTCAAGGGTTTAACCCTGTTCTTTATCATTTCCGCTACGTTAGTTTCCAGATGCCACTAAGGCAAGAGAAGTCACTTTTTATGATTTGTTGGCCATCATTCTCAAAATGCTTGCACATAGCACATTATTCTTGGAAGGTCTCGAATACATGTAGCAAGTATTCTCCTAAATTTTACTGATTTGTTAGTAGACTTGACAAATCCTTCAGAGTCACCTAAGTCACGAGAAACGGTGTAAGTTGCATCGTTCATTGAACAAACATGAAATCAAGTTCCTAAGACTTCAGTACTTGCTCTGGTTGCCAAAAAATAAATAACACTCTTACCTGGGTCCTCATGCTTGTCAGCTCAAGCTTTTATCATTGCACCAATCAATGGTTAAATCTTTTCAACTATCAATTTCTAAACAGTTTTACAAAATGCTTTTGGTTAATAGATTGTTTCAAGTTAGGAAAGGGTTCTACAATCCATACATATCAGATTTAGGGTCAGGGATGGTAGGGGTATTTTCTTGTGGAGGACATCTGTTGCGGTGATCATTTGTTGGCATGCTCTTTTCATAGACTTCTCTAGATTCCTTCAGATAGGCACGCTTTGGTGGCCGACTGTTTTCGGCTTGATAGCGGGAGGACGAAATGGGACGTGCAGTTTGTGAGGCATTTTCAGGACTGGGAGGTGGATGATGTTTTTTGGCTCTTGGAGATGTTGTATTGCCAGGAGGTTGTTGGTGGTGCTACTGACTCTAGAGTATGGGTGTTATCTTCTCAAGGGGGTTTTGATGTACACTCATTCTATAGGTTTGCTTTCCAATGGAAAGCCATTTGGCGCATGAAGCCCCCTCTTAAGGTGGCCTTCTTTGCTTGGACTGTTGCCTTGGGGAGGATTCTGGCACTGGAGAAGATAGATTGTTGTGAACTGATGTTGCATGTGTAAGAGGAATGGAAAGTCGGTTGATAAACTTTTGTTGCATTGCCCTGTGGCTAGGGATAGCTGGCGGCTGATCTTGGCTTTGTTTGGAGTTCAATGGGTGATTCCTCGGTCCCCACTTAGTATGATCAAGGCTTAAAGAGGGTGTATAGTGGGTCCCTAAGCCCTTGTCTTTTGGAGGGGAGCGCTATTGTGCATCTGGTGGTGCCTATGGAAGAAAAGGAATAGGAGATCCTTTGATGGGGAGGAGACTCCTATTTAGGAATTGAAATTCTTTATCATTAATTCACTTTTTTGTTGGGTTCATGGGAGGAATTGTAAATCAATTGGGGAGATTGTTGATTTTTCGGATAGTTTTTGAGAGGTTAGGGGCCTTATTTGGTCCTTGTTTGTTTTTGTGGGCCACGTTCCCCATTTGAACACTCTTTAATACAATATTACATATCAAAAAAAAAAAAAAAAAGAATTGGTAAGGGGGTTATCTTTGTTTGTACGTCTTTCTATTTTTGACTATGTTACATGGACTTGGGTATGTGTGTCGGGTATGGGTATACATTCATGAGTCGGATGTGTCAAACTCCCAAACAGGACATATGGACATAGCTAAATATTCATTTTATTTAATATTTTTATTTTATTACTATAAAATAATGTATTTATGTAACATTAGTGTTCAATATCGACATTTCACTCATTTTGAAATAATAACATAAAATTATTGGACATGCTTTTTAGGTGCATGTCCAACACTAAAAGTGTCAGATACATATCCCATACCCATGTTCGAGTAATATGTGTTCACATATTTTTGAAGCATCCATGTAACATAGGTTTTCGATAAAGTGAATGCTTTACATTGCTTATTTACAAATTGTAAATTTAAGTGATAAAATAATCAATTACTTGATGTAGGTTTCAGAAGTCATTCTGAATTAGCTAATAAACCATTTAAAATTATTTTTATGCAATTACAATAGAAACAATATACGAAAAAGTAGATCAATGGCAAAAGTTCTGTATACGAGACAGTACTGAATTCTCTCAACTTGTTTAGACATATTACTATAACCTCTATGAATCTACTACATACATACATACAGAAACATAAGTACACTAGGCACACATATATGTCCTAATAATGGCTGTCCAATTTTATGCTGTCCACCCAAGCCCAGGTGTTCTTCTTCAGTTTGACAGTCCCAGCTACATATGTTGGCCCAGAAGTTCATAAAAACTCTATATATAGTGAATGAAAACATCTTGCATGCACAGTTGCTTGGTGCATTACTTTGAATTGTTGAAGGTGGTTAGCATACACATAGGACAAAAGGATTATGCCACTGTGGTTTTTTAAGGGTTCAATCTCACACTAATCTGGTGACCATATGTGCATGCATAGTGTATTGTTCTTAGCTTGTTTCCTAATTTACAGGACAGATGGATCATGGGATTGATTTTTGTGAAGGTTTGTTCACTCCCAGTCTGTCCTAGATGACTAAAATAGACAATAAGTGTATGCTCAATGACCTAAATAGTCTTATCATCCGCTATAGGTACTTCAAAGCATTAAGGCATAGAAGAAGTCATCTCCAAAAAAGCTCTGGAATCCCAATCCAAGAAGAGCACTGATGCAAAAAATCTGAATTTTTTGTTTAAGGAGATCATATATTCCTGACAAAAATGCAATGAGAACAACTCGTAAGATCATTAAAATTATAGAAATTATTAGATGTTAATTGGTTATTGAGTTCATTATTTTCTCAAAAGTTGGCATGAATTACTGCTGCTTGACAGATGGATAACATGGTCAGTGAAAGAGAGAGAGAAATAAAATACGTTGGGACCACAAAATTCTCACCTGTATGTTGTCCATTTTCTTGTAACTTAGTGAAGGGCATGGTAAGATCCTCTTCATTTGCTGTATCGATAAGTAAACCTCTATGAGATCTCAATTTGTACAGGCAGGATGTGGTCCCAGCCTCAGATGGTTGAGCAGAAACATTCAAGTCTTCATCTTCACTGTTTTTGCCCACTTCATTAGGCACCATTTGACACTGTGATATTAGTTCTGATCCTGAGACGGGAACATTTAAGTCTTCTGTCGAGCGAATGAGACTACGGTTAATGTCTGATGTATAAGAACTGCAGCCCCAGCTTTTAGTTAACATGAAAGCCTCTAAACATTGTGTTTCACATGTTATCTCTTGCATAGGGATTTCATTCACTCCATTATCATTCTCTTTTTTATTTAGTCTGCCACACCACTTATCAGGTGGAGTAGAGGCACTGCATTTTTTGTCCTCAATTAACATGTCCTCTGCCACACTTCGTGCTTGCATCATTATTATGCCATCACTTTTGCAAGATTGGAAAATGGAGTTGGATCTGGAGTCTTCATGGACAAAATCCTTCAATACTTTTGGTGTTATATCAGTCACCGTTTCTGATATAAGCCTTCCAGCTGTCTCCTCATCAGCGTGTTTATTAAATTTATCAAACATTATCTTTCTCTTTGTGATCTGATAATCATAAAGTTTGTCATCAGGTAATTTCTCTTCTGTTCTCTGCCCATTATCCTTATTTTTCTTCTTTGGGGTGGGGATTGCTAGAATCCGTTTACTCTGGTGATTTTGACTTCTAATACTAGGTGTGTTCTTATGCGATTGAAGCCAATCTTTAACCTTCAAGAATTTTGGGAAACTGTTTCCATGTCCCTCACAGTAAACAAGCTTAGCTGTCTGATGATTTGAATTCCTCAGTGATTGGCCCTGCTCTGGGAAAATAACCATTTTGACATCACATTCGGATGTATCTTGACTGTTTGCGGTTTCATTATCTGCAGTACATTTCAAGTTCAAACCCACAAAGCAGCTTGTTCTGGATATACTGCTATCTGAATTGTATTCTGATAAATCCTTTATGGGGAAAGTCACAGATTCTGCATGTTGAGATGTTGACCTTCTCCTTTCAGGAACTAGGTCTGTCTTTTTTAAAGGAATGTGATCTATTCCAGATTTTCTTCTACTGCAAATGGTGGACCTCATAAATCTTGGTAACTCTGATGAGGGAGCTGCTGCAACATTTCCAATTTTTTCCACTGGTTCTATATTAAGTTGTGGCACTTGGGATGATAGATGGGTATCCTCCAGTTGATCAGTGGAAGGTGGTGGTGTCCTTAAGAGATTTTCTAATTTCTCCTTCAACTTCTTAATTTCCCTTCCAACTTCATGGCGCTTATTTTCAATCTGTTTCATCTTCTGCTGCAGATTGGTCATTGCAACTTCCTCTTGAGCCCTTGCTTCCTGCTTAGCAACATTTCAACTCATTTATTGGTATCAATGTGTTAAACATAGCTTTAAGGGGACACAAATTTTTATGCATATCTGGTGAGGTGTCTGCGATGGCAATCCAGGAACGTTAGCTGGGTGAAAATCTAAAAACTTAGTTGCTTAAAATAGAATTCAATTTACATCTATAAGACTATAACAATCATTGTGTTTGATAGCTCTTGATGGAGATATATGTGGATGAAGGTATGCAAACTGATCATGTAACTTATTACAATCTAGTATTATGTGAAAGTATTTAATGACGTATCTCTGGATCTGCCTTACCCTTATCTGTAGTTCCATTATAGGACAATCAATACTAGGCCAGACTGAACACTTGTTCTATATATAGAACTTATCTAGTTATTTAATGAATAAAATGACCAACACAATGTTTCCATTACTTACAGTTGATTCCTCATTCCCTTGGTGAATGCTTCTCACTCGTGTTGCAAAATTTAGAGTACATACTGTCTCACACAAATCTTCTTCTTTGGGACTGACATGGACAAGCATCAGTGTTTTCGAATCCTCCCCTGAAATTAATAAAGAATTTGAGTTGAGAAGAATTTATAAATCAAGATGAGGAACAAAAGAATCTGTATTTGCCAGATGAACCAGAGACGATGTATGTTGATCAGATACTTCTTGCCTTTTGAGAAGAGTTATTGCTTGCAAAATGATATAGGTGGCTACCCTTGGAAGGTAACACCGAATGTCCCATTTTGACATGTATGTATATAATAAAGGTGATTGGAGGGGGTCTCTGTGTTCTTTTTCCTTCCCTCAGATATTTTGCTTTGATTACATTTATTATGTTTAATAACTAAAATAATCCATTGTTAATACACATAAAAAGAAGGAACAAAAAAAGTCATTAAGCTATATATCATTACCTATGGAATCTTTAAGAACTTGTGTCAGCTTGCTATTCCTGAAAGGGAAAACTTCAAATTCAGGAATTGATTTAAAATTCTGAAGATGCTCTTCTAACTATTTACAGGTACCATGACTCAAGAAAGATAGCTGTTCTATGTATGTTTGGAAGCTTGGCGTCTACTTGAAAAGCTAGCTTTATGAAATGTTACTTCTTGGATTTGGTGCCGAAATCTTCACCAAACTGAGCAAAATTTGATGAATTTCAGTACAATGGTCAGTGTGAACCTTTTCTGGTTCAGATACCTGTAAGGTATGTGGAACTTTTTACTTTGGAGAGCGTTGATGACATCTCCAAGGGCCGAAAGAGAGAGGTTGATGGCTTTTCCTTCTTCAAGTCTTCTTCCGCATGCTTTTGTTTTCAGGATACGCTCGCTTCCCCCAAGGTCTACCATCCATAATTTGTTTGTTTCCCTTCGCCTCTCCGTAGCATCAAAACAAGTCATTGACATGCGAATCATACTGTAAGGAGCAGATGCATATATATATATATAAACAAGCTTAGAACCACAAAGATTCTTATTATTACTTTCAGTCAAAAAAAATTCAGGTCCTGTTTTGTTTTATTACTTTTTCTATGTTCTTAGGTCTCATTGAACTAAATTGACTAGGTCAGGCCCCAAGTCAATCTGTAATTCATGAATTGATGCTATTGTTTTTGTCAAGGAAAATACTTACCAGTGTGATCTACTTGACGATATGTTGGAATTCGTAGAAGCAGTAGATCTGAATCGACATCCTAATCTATAAATCTTTATTGCTTGGTTGTAGTCGTTCACTTGGATAGTCACAAGGTTGTCAATCTCTATTTCTCCCTTGGTATCTGTGTGGATCGAAAGGCTGCAATAGACGGGTAACATCAGAAAATGGAGCATCTACAGTAACAAATAAAAAGGTAAATGAGTATTCTTTTCCCATTAGCTTTGGTGTTTATGATAATAGCGAGAGGCCAAATTGGCTTATGATGTTTTTAAAAGCATATGTAGTTCATGTTTTAAAATTTTCTCGTATTGAGCTCTCGAATAGCATGGATGTGTCTTTACCGTGCATCCCATCTTCTCTTTTCGCTGTGGATATCATGTTTACATGGAAAATGAATATTTTGTTCATGTGAAATACTTCTAATTTACAATCTGTGTGGTGTTGTTATTTGACTTTAAAGACATAACTCAAAATTCTGGACTTTATTTTATATGAGCGATAATATAAATCACAAATAATACTTATTGAGGATAATATGCTTCCTAAGATAATAGCATAGTTATAATAGTCAATGGTTAAGTGTACTGCAAATGGATGATGTAAAGACTAGTGAAGGATGTTGTTCTTACCTGCAAGCTTAATACTCTCTTTCTATGAGTGGTTTTAGGGTCACCTCTCAAGTCAATGAATGTTAAAGAAGCTAGGATCTACAACAAGAAGAAAGAAGCCAAAAAGAATGTAGACCAAGACGGTGATAACGCACATGATGGTTTGTGATTTAACTGAGGGCATGCATTAAAAAAGAAAAAGAAAAAAGAAACGAAAAAGGAGAAATAACTCTATCCCAAACATAGAAATTACTGCTAGTTACTTTGGCATTTAAAAACATTTCAAAATCTCATTAAGATAGTTATGAACACGGTTGCATCTTAGTTCACTTAACTCCCACTTTCTTAATATGTGGTGTTTTAGTTAAAGAAAAGAAAAACATGATTGCATTCTAGTTCAAGTTACATGCTCCAAGCTTAGATTTTTATACATACTTGAAAATATTAAGGGAGTATATTGTAACACTAGAAAATTACTTGCTAATGTTCACGTGGAAAATGTGAATAATGAAAACAAATTCACAAAAACACATGCAGTAGCTAAGCCATGCAGAAAATGGGCCTCTGCAATCAATTAGCTGTATTTAATAAGGTACATACTCACCAAGGTGGCATAGGATCTGTTACTCTTGTTGTCCGAGGTATGAGCAAATCTTTTAGATGGCCCCTGTAAATCTCAATCATACTGAAATTGAAGAGAAATGTGTGGTTACTATCCGATGCTTGCTTGAAGAGCGCCTCAATTGCACGGGGCACTAATCCTGGACAATCTGGAGTGCCTTCCTATAATTTTTACACCAGGAATTAAGCAATTAGAACATGCAAAAATACATGGACTGTAAATGTAGATATACACACATCAGATTCTGGAAAATGAATTCCCTAATTCTGATGTAGTGTTGGTTACGTATGCTAAAATCCTTGCTTCCTGGGGCATTGACATTGGAAGCTCCTACCCTGAAGTAAGTCTTCTCCCTCTGCCCCTGAAGCTACTCATAAGCCAGATCCAACCCTCTTATTCAACAAAGATTATTTTAGTCTTTTAATGCATAGAAGAAGAAAGTTGTATCTTTTCATAATGTTGACTAGATTCCGTTGATCCTTAATTATGAAAACTCATGCAGACCTTGGCATGCCATTTAATGCGAGTTTACTGAAGTAACACTCTCATGGAGGTAATTTTCATCTATTAGGCATGTAATGTGGCATGCTTGGCTGTGTCATGAGTGGCTGGTACTGATTTATAACCATGTTATAAAGCCATGGCATGAGCCTCACCATTGTGAAAGTTTTTCCTGTGCCTGTCTGCCCGTATGCAAATATACATGCGTTATAACCATCCAAAGCAGATTTGATAACTGGCTCAACTTCCTCAAAAATGTCATCTGAGAATTTACTACTATTAGATCATAATCAAAACAGACAAGGACTTGCATGTGTTAATATTTCAATATAATTTGTCTAATATTCTGTTTAATGTGTAAATTAAAGAAGAAGAAGAAGAAGAAGTTGCACCTTGTGATGAACTAGGATGGAAAACCCTGTCAAAATTGTAAAGTTTACTCTTCTTCTCGGCAAACTTTAGCAGCACGCCATTTGAATCCAAAGCGGCTACTACTCTTGGATTTTCTAAATTCTCCCCAATCATGAAGGGTCTCAGACGGCAAAATACACGAATGTTCCCTGAAATGATGAAAATAAATATTGTGACTGCAATTTGTATTTTTTATTTTCCTTTACTTCCCTTGAAAACATTGGTAAATGTTTTGGCAATATACTATCCAAAAACATATACAAATTCATGTGTTGATCTGGTTTGGACCAAAAGCTTTTATGGGCAGAGTTCCAATAATGGCTCAAGATCATGGTTTAGCAGAAATCAGAAGGTATTCTCTTGACATTTACTGCTATACTCCAGTATTTTGGAGCTTCCATGGGTGACCAATTTTTTATATTTATTTTTAATTGTGAACACAGAAATAACTAACCTTTCAAGTCCAGAAAATCATTGAGGACCTGCCTTCTTTGTATGTTCAATTGGTAAATGTTGGTCGTTAAGTTGTCTAGTTCATCTGTTAACATGCCAAAAAAGAAACTGCAAATGAGAACAGACATGCAGCTAGATCAACATGGCACAAATATATGCACGAAAGCAATCGATTACCTTTAATCTTGAAGATGGCTTTGCCCAAATTAGCATCTTTGTTATCGTTCTTATTGTCTTCTGATGGTCTTTCAGATGGTAAGCTTTTGATTATGCTGCAAACCGAATCAGCCCAGCTGGGAGTATGATGCTTCTTCAATCCCAAGAGAGATTGGATTGATTCGGCAAGCCTCCCAACAGATCTTCTGGAGTCCATGGCCATCGTCGTCTGAGAATGAAGTACTTTTAAAGAAGGTAATGTCCTCTCTCCCCTTCTCTGCTCAGTTCCATGTCCACATCCTATAAGTGAACCGTTCGATGTTCAGATTAAGTTTGGGATGGCTAGAGTGAATTTTGTGCTGTCTTGAGCAAGAAATCAGATTACTGATTGATATGAAAAGGAAGGAGAAGGATGTCAATAGAAAATCAGAATTTTCTCTAGTTTTTGTAGTGCTACAAAAGAGAATAGACTTGATTTTTGTAATTTGATGAACTCTGTTTTGGGCTCTACGTGGTGGTTTAGTTGTTGTTTCTCTCTGCATTTATTGGGAATAGATTCTTGAGAGAAAATACCAATTTCTCTCTCAATTTGCATGCTTTAAATCCGTAATATCTAGACAGATAATACAAGTGATGTCCTGTTTCTTTTCTAGGTTAAAACTGTAATTTGTAAAAGAAACCCTAAACATATGTAAAGGAGATATGCAGTTTTTCATGTGGAATGGAACAGTAAACAAATGAGAGAGTGCGCTCCACCACCATCAAATATTCAAGAATAAGTGTGGTGTGAAGAATTAAGTTGTCATTGTTGAAGATTATACTAATTTACACTATTTTTATTTATGATTAGAGCTCACCAACCATGACCCTTTCATTTCATTCTCTTTCTTTTACTCAATCTATATATTTATATATTATGTGTAAAATATACGCCAGCATGGACCAATCATTAGGGCTGATGACAATTGAAGCTCAACTTTTGAAAATTAAAAGAAAAAAAATTGTGATCATCAAGTTTAGTAAATTAAGAAATAAAATTTGGTGAGCCTTGGAACATCATGGTTTATGATCTTGTACCAAGAATGTTTGGTGAAGTAGCCCATTATTTCATAATTCTAGATTAATAAAATAACCAATGCCTCGCAGAGCGCAAATCACCTGCTGTGCAATTTCCATGCTGTTTCCTACAGTGAGCAGTAAGTGGCCATGGTTTGGCCACGTTTTACTCCACTTAATAGACACTAACATTGTGTTTGGCAATTGCACCACTATTTATAAGTAATATTTCACTACCATTTTTAAGTAACGTCACAGAAGTCTAAAAGTAATATCACATAGTCTAAAAAGTAACATCACTACCATTTATAAGTATCTTTCGCCCTCAAAACGTGGTGATGTTATTTTTTAGACTATGTGATATTACTTTTAGACTTCTGTAATGTTACTTATACATGGTGATGATGTTACTTTTACTTATAAATGGTGGTGATGTTACTTTTTAGACTATTTTTACACTTCATCACAATTTATAAGTAACATCACAGAGTCTAAAAAGTAACATTATCATTGGTAAAAGGAAACATCACTGTTTTTTATTTCAAATAATAATATAAATGATATGTTGAATTGAGTTATGTTTATATGTGACATTACTTTTTAGATTATGTGATGTTATTTATAAATGGTGGTGAAATGTTACTTATAAATAGTGGTATAATTGGCTAAATACGGCCTTAGTGTCCGTTAACTAAAGAATAATGTGATCAAATATGATCCACTTAAAAGTTACAGCAGAAAATTACATGGGAGCTTTACTGCAAGTGATTCGCGCCCATGACTCGCAACACTCGTGGGGTTGCAAATGCATTGTGACCCTTTTTGCCTTTTGACCTTTGTCCCCGTACAATAGGGCATTTGCATTTATAATAGAACAATTATAATAACTCCTACTATTTAGATGAGTTAGTGGTCTAAATTTAGAAAAAAGTTATTATGAATTCTAAAAATTAACTAGGTACCACTTGTGAATTGTAATTTTAATAGACAATGCTTATCTCTGGCATTAAAAATTCTTTTGTGTAAATATATATATATATTTTTTGCACAACTCTTTTACATTAACACATTCATATATTTTCTCTCTTCTTCCTCTTTCTCATTTTATTAATGAATTAACCCTATATTAAATAAGTTTATAAAAATTATGTGAGTGTGGCTATAACATATGGTTGGTTATTATTAGTAGATATATTTTTACACAAAAGGTATAAAATAATTAGTCCAATTTTTTTTTGGCACCGTTTGAGATGCTCTTACTGTGGTTCAATCTTATATCGACACATTACCTTTAATTATTAATTAAAAATTGAAAAGAAAAATGGAAGTGATATGTGTGCATTTGTGATTGGACTGCATCAACAATAAATAGGTAAGTATTTTCCATTCTGTATAACCAATTAATCATATTCCAAGAGTACAATGAAAAAATAATTCAGATTCCTTAGTTACTCACACACACACGCCTTCACTGAGATTTAAACTTCTGACCTCCATTTGAGAAGTAGGGACCTTGTATCGCTAGGTGTTACAAAGGTCATTTTTCCACATCGGATCCGGATGGGAAAACAATTGGGGTATAAATGGGTGAGTATGCAACATTACTTAACAGCTTGAGCTTTTATGTAAATAGGCAAGCGCTTACTCGTTACAATTGGTATCAGAGTTAAACTTAATATTTGATCCAGTGCCACGCCAACTGCCTGGCCCGGAAGGCGTCTGGGTGAGCCACTAGGGGTAGGTAGGGTGGCCCGATCGCAACGACGGCATGAACAAATGATTGGGTATAAATATGTGGTTATGCAATACTACTCAACAACTTGAGTTTTTGGATAAATGGACAAGCGTCCATCCGTTACACTAGGCCACTGGGCTATTAGATAGCATGTCTTACTAATTTTCTTCTTGATGTATTATTTTTTCTTGAATATTTGCTCCTACGGTTATATTTTGTCTTTTAAATTGGTCTTTTTTTTTTAGGAGTATTTTTTAGTTTTTCTATAAAATCTTTAGGATGAATAAGCCAACAGAATTGTGCATTCAAAATTTCTACATTCACCTCACCATTTCCTTTTGAATTCAAGCTTAATTAAACTCGCAATAATTTGACATCTTTATTAGAGGATGCCATAGAATGCTGGTGATTTGTTTTTCTTTTTCAATCTTTAAATTATTTCACGGACTCCATGTGCTATGCTGTGCAAATGGAAATTGTAATATGTAATTAAAAGTAGTGTTCCATGGTGGACAATGGTGAATAAAGTAGCAAGATGATATATGAGCACTCAAAAAAAAAACATTGTAACTCGATGAAATCTATATATCAACTTAAGGTTGCTTTATTATAATTTGGAGGTCATGAATTTAAAATAAGAAAACAATAACAGCCTCTTCACATGCTACATCTGAACCTCCTAGATCCACAGTGGTCTGAATGCACTCATTTACCCTTATATATATATCTATATATCTATATATCTATATATCATGGGTTGGTGTTTAGCAATCGAAGGCAATTATTTATTTATTTATTTTTCTTTTTCATTTTTTACCACCCTCACCCAAAAAAAATTCTGGGTCCGGCAGTTGGAAGGTTGAGACATGAGTCCACACCAATGCCAATTTTTAAAGGGGAAAAAAAGTAGTGCCTTTTGCAGAGAGTATCTTAAGCGCAGGCAGTGGGGAGAATCACTCTCATAGATAATCTTTAACACTCTCCTTTTATTGTTATTTATTTAAATTATATTGACATCCCTTAAGGGTCATTTGGCATTGCTACACATCATCATCATCTTTTTCTTTTTATACCATATGTATAGAATCAACTTCATGAATGTTATTTCCATGAAGTTGTTTTGAAAAAGACTGGTTAGGTTTGTTTTCATCCGCAAGAGAGAGTGATTTTAAAGTTTTGCTCTCTAAACATAAGAGAGAATAAGAGAGTCCTACAATAGTTTTGAAGTCAAATCCAATAGACAAAAGAATAACAAACACATTAAAGCGGTGTTACTTTTCCTCTCATTTTATTAATATTTCTCAAATTTTATTTCTAATTTATGTTGCTTCAATGATCTCCCCAATGTGATAGTTTCTTATTTAACCTTTAGGATATCACATATCAATCTTGATATTTACATTTCTGTCACACTCACTTTATATTGTTTTCTACCCAACTTTATATGTCATAAAGTATATGACTATTCTATTATATGTTCGAACATCCATATTTTATGACACAAAATGTTGTGGAACTAATACATGCAAAAAGTGAAATTGCTAATATATTTCTTTACCAATTAGATAGCTTAATAATTAACTGTAAAACTTTGTCATTATCAATATAAACATAATTAGTCATTACCAATATAAACATGAATCATACGAATAGATGTAAATATATATTAATAAACAAAAATATGATCCCATCAGTACTAAATATATATTAATAAACAAAAATATGATCCCATCCGTACTAACTTCTTATATTTATTATTTTGTTCAAATATTAAGTTTTTATATTTTTTGTATTGTTCAATTTTTTTTTTTTTTTTTCACTGTCGCCTATCGAGTATATTTATATCTCCTTTCCTGTCTGCTATCCAAAACAATAACAATAACACCGTCATATGATAATAAATTACAAGAGTTCAGACCATACCATAATGTCATTTTTTGCTGACTATCCCAAAAATTAAAATTGGCAAATCTCATTCGTTGCTAAAGCCTCCATAATGGTTTAGCCACATACATTCACATACTATATTACATTGTACATCCTATAAAGGAAAAAATATTAAATACACTGGAATAGGATCAGTGCGAACTGTTGAATCATGAATGTGGTGGTGAGTCCAGCCACATCCAAGGGCTGGGATGACCCCAGAGCACCATACCTACCCCGAAGTCAATGGGACCCATTGGATAATGAATGTGGTATTCAAGGGCTGGGATGGACCCGGGTATCATACCCAGGGGTATTTAATACTTTATCCCTATAAAAATGAAAGGTCTACATGCCTCCAGCAAAAGAAGGCCTGACAACATATCTCTATGCATCCTTTTTAGGCCGAATCTCCATGCCTTCAACAATGAGGCCAATCTTGTTGCCAAGGTGTTTGATCTCTATTAGTCGTGATGAACGCTAAAAAGTGCGCATTTAAACCCCTTAAGCTTGAGTGTTCTAGGACGTTTATCTATCTTATTTTCCCGTTTTAGACTAATTTCGTGTTATTGCCCTTTTTAGGTGCTTATCTCCAAAATAAGCTAATTCAGCCAAA